TCATCTTCCAATTCTCTAAAAACACTGATTTTTTTAAAATTCTGCACACTTACCCGTTGCTCAGATTTAACAGGACTGCTTGTAAACATCACCTTCTGCTTATTCCAAAGAGGGAAGCCGTTTCAGAAATGACCAACTGCATCCTATCGCACACTATCACACAAATAATGATCCTGAAAAGGGAAACTTTATATATTTGCAGGGAGGTGCATTGACCAGTTGGATTCTGCCCATAAAGGGGGAGGAAGCTGCGAATATTGGCAAAAGGCTCCAGGATCAAAGAGAGGGAAAAGCAGAGAACTTCCTTCAAATGGGGTGAGAGAACTCTAGTGCAGAGGACAGTCACTATCTCTGGTGTGCAACCTGCAGCCTGGAAAAGAGCCATTACACCATCTGCCCAGATTTCAAAGGAGTTAAAGAACCTGAAATCAAATAACAACTCCCTGAGACAACTTTAAACCGGGATCAGATTCTGATCAGGTTCAGGTTTCTTGCTTCCTGCTGGGAATTGTTCCAATCGAGAAAGAAGGACCAATAACCAAGTTTGTTACCAAAGGTTGATATAAGCCATAAATCTTTCGTAGCACTTTTCCATAAAATCATATGGCTGAGAGAGACCTTGGAGGTCTTCTAGTTCAACTAGAAGGAGGAGGGGGGGCATGACAGCAGTCTTCCAGTATCTCAGGGGCTGCCACAAAGAAGAGGGAGTCAAGCTATTCTCCAAGATGCCTGAAGGCAGGACAAGAAGCAACGGACGGAAACTGATCAAGGAGAGAAGCAACTTAGAACTAAGGAGAAGTTTCCTGACACAACTATTAATTAGTGGAACAACTTGCCTCCAGAAGTTGTGGGTGCCAACTCTGGACTTTTTAAGAAATGATTGGACAACCATTTGTCTGAAATGGTATAAGGTTTCCTGCCTGAGCAAGGGATTGGATTAAAAGACCTCCAAGGTCCCTTCCAACTCTGTTATTCTGTTATATATTACTGTATAGATAGTACTTGAACATTGATTTGTATAAAGTTTTGAAAACTCTGAACTATTTCTAAGTAGTTGTTGAAACCACAGTGCAGTCAATTGTTAGGAGTGAAGCTGATAGAGCAAGGGGCAGTGTTTCCCAGACTAGTGAGAATTATTATGGAATCAAGAAGGGAGTCAAGCTATTCTCCAAAGCGCCTGAAGGCAGGACAAGAAGCAACGGATGGAAACTAATCAGGGAGAGAAGCAACCTAGAACTAAGGAGAAACTTCCTGACAGTTAGAACAATTAACCAGTGGAACAACCTGCCTCCTGAAGCGGTGAATGCTCCAACACCGGAAGTCTTTAAGAAGAGACCGGACAGCCATTTGTCCGAAATGATATACGGTTTCCTGCCTGAGCAGGCGGTTGGACTAGATGACCTCCAAGGTCCCTTCCAACTTTATTATTATTATTATTGATCATCGCACAGTCAGCCAGATGTTCAGACTGGATTTGGCATTTTGTCTACCTATCGAGTCCTTACCCAGGACCTGGGATAGGCAGATGTGGATTTTTGATGGTATTACAGATATCGTCGCAGGATGGAAGCAGTTCCTAATAAGGCCGCCTTTTGCAATTGACTAATAGCGAATTTGTCAATGCCAAAGGTGTTCAAGTGGTGCTCCAGTTCTTTTGGGATTGCACCCAAGGAGCCTATTACTATTGGTACTACCCTTGCTTGCTTTGCCACAGTCTTTCTATTTCTATTTGTAGGTCTTTGTATTTTGTTATCTTCTCCAGTTCTTTCTCGTCTATTCTGCTGTCTCCAGGCACTGCCACGTCCACTATCCAGACTTTTTTGTCTTTCTTATCGACAATTGTTAAGTCTGGGGTGTTCTGTTGCAGGTGCTTGTCTGTTTGAATTCTGAAGTCCCAGAGCAGTTTAATTTTATTATTATTATTATTACTATTATTATTACCATTATTATTATTATTATGTTGTCTGCTAGGTTTGTCAGGAATCTGTTTGATCTTCTACTTGGTGCAGAGTTTGTCTCCCAGCTGATGTCAGGGTAATTAAAGTTCCCCATTACTATTGTGATGTGCTTCCTACATACCTTAGTTAACTGACTAGCAAAAAGTCCATCTATTTCTTCTTTTTGATTGAGTGGTCTATAGTATATACCTATGACAATGTCATTTTCCCCCCTTTTATATTGATCCAAATGCATTCAAGACAGTTTTCATCATTGTTGTGCACGATTTCTGTAGAGATGTAGTTATTTCTTTTATAGGAGCAACTCAACCTCCTTTTTATTTGGTCTGTTTCTTTTAAATAATTTAAATCCCTCTAGCTGTGTGTTCCATTTGTGGGTTTCATCCCACCAATGTTCCGTAATGGCAACAATATTATATCTGCCCTACATTTACCCGAATTTCTAGTTTATTGTTTATTTATTTTATTGTTTATTGTTTATTTTATCTGTTTATTGTTCATACTCTGTGATTTGGTGTATAGACATTAGTGAATCCCCTCCTCTTTGCAACAGCCCTTCACGTGCTGGAAGTCAGCTATCATGTCCCCCCTAATCCTTCTCTTTGATAGGCAAGCTACACCTAGCTCCCTCAACCATTCATCATCATTACTCTTCTCTGCACACTTTGCAGGCTCCAAACATCTTTTTTGTATCAGGATGGCCAGAACGGGACACAGTATTTCAAGTGTGGACTCATCAGCACTGGGTAAAGCAGTATAATCCCTTCCCATTGTTTGACACTATCCCTCTATTAATGCAGCCTAGTACTGCTTTTGCTCTTTTGGCAGCTACAGCACACTGCTGGCTCATATTTAAGTGGTGGTCCGATCCCACTCACAGTTAGTGCCATTAAGCCAGGTAACATCTATTCTATACCTGTACATTTTATTTTTCTAGTTTAAGTTTAAAGCCCTACTTTTCTCACCACTGAGTTTCATTTTGTTGGATAGGCCCCAGTGTTCATCTGTCAACATCTTTCTGAATCTTGAGCCTTTCTTCTAAAGTATTGGTTATTCCTTCCCGCTTGACCTTGTCTGCAAATTTGATGAGATCCCCTCATTTAGATCATTTGTGGAGATGTTGAAAAGTGCTGGGCCCAAGACTGAACCTTGAGATACCCCACTGCATCCTTCTCTCCATGTAGATGTAGTTATATTAAGGACTACTCACTGAATGTGCTTGGTGCAAATTGCGAATCCAGCTGCAGTATTAACACTGTCCCAAATTTTTCTATCTTACCAAGAAATAGGTTGTGGACTTTGTCAAATGCCTTGCTGAAATCCAAGCATACTATTTCACTGATCCGCTAATGAAGTTATTTTATTTTACAAAAGGCAATAAGGTTTGTCTTTAACGAAACTCATGCTGGTTTCTAATAATCACTTTGTTTGTTTCTAGGTGTTCACAACTCCTCTACTTTATTATCTTTTCCAGGATTTTCTCAGGTATTGATGTCAAGCTGAGTGTCTTATAATTTCCTGGCTCCATTTTGTCCCCTTTTTGTAGATTGGGACCAGATCAGCTCTTTTCCCATCCTCTGGTATCTCCCCTATACTAGAGGAACTTTGAAATATTACATTTAAGGCTCCAAAATTGCATCTGCCAGCTCTTTCAAAACCTTGGGATGGAAACCATCTAGCCCAGGTGATTTGTATTCATCCAGGGTGGATAGGTATTCTCTTAGTAATTCCTTGCCTGTTTTGACTTGCATACCTGTTCTATCTTCCTTGGTGTTGCTTTTGATAAGTTGGGCTGTTCCTTCCTTTTGCGTAAAAACAGATACAAAGAAGGATGTCAGGGGTTCTGCTTTCTCCCTGTTGCCATCTGCTCTCATAAGTGGACCAATGTGGAGGAATTTGCACATGCAGCAAACTGCCGTGCATTGCTCCCCACAAACCTCATAACCTTTTGATACCCTTTGTCCCAAGGAAGCAGCCAAAAGATCACCCCCTTTTGACTTACTATCTTACCTACCTAAATAATAAGTTCCCCCTTATCTCTTCCTGTCTTTATCTCTTCTTGTCTTTATCGGTTCTTTCTCCTTTCCTAATTTACCTGTATTTGTTTTACCTGCTCTCAACAGGTAATGTGTTACTAGAAAATAATTGCTTATATGAAGGAATTTTTCAATTACTTTATGTCAACAGCTAAAGATTAAACTTCTAAATGTAAAATGTCAGCAGTTAATGGTAAAGCCTATGTATGTAAAAAGTATATAAAAAAAGAATAAACTCAGAGTTGGAGAAGCTGTGTGAAGCTGTGTCATGCAGCTTCAAAACCTCTGCTCAAGACATGCCTGAGTCTTTTTCTTAGCATCGTTACAGACCTATCCTTTCCTTGACTTTTTTCTTGTTCCATACATGAATTTAAAGTAAGACTTTAATTACAAAAAATTCTTCCCTGGGGAAAATGTCATGTTTGAATTTTTTGAAAAAGAAAATGCATAGTAAAATAAGATTTTAAAAAGTGACCACTAGAGAGAAATAAATATTTCAATTAATGAAGAAAAAGATATTTCTATCTTTTTAAACATTGCTATGTTGTAGAAATCAAAGACTTGAATCAGCTCTTTCAGGAAAGGGAAGTTTATTGCACGCAGGTTCAGAGAGCCATCCTGGCTTAAACAGTCTGAACTCAGATTGTACATTGAAGACCATTTTTATAACCCTTTCTGGCGGGGGTTATTTTTAGGTCACATTACATTCTATAGGTCCTTATTCTAACATAGGAAAACTACTAGACAGATCTATAATCGATAGCTCCTCGTTTACATTGGAATGTTTTTAGCAATCAGCAATATATCAAGTGTTAAGCAATTTAGATATACCATGTGACAGGCAGTTAGTAATATATCATGTGCAGAGCTGGGAACAGGATGTCTGGCCATCCTAAATTTAAGAGTTGTCTTGTAAGCAAAACAAACCTCTCTTTTACCCACATTTTTGTTGGGCCATCTGCTTTTTATACACATCCTTTGTCGGACCATCAGTATTTTTCCAGGTACCACTTTAGCTACGTGTCCTCTTGGAGCACTTTGTTCAGCTTGCTCCTTCGACCTTTATAACAATTGCGTCTTTTATTATATTTGATATTATTATCAATTGAATCCAGATTGAAAGCACAAAGAGTGGAGATGGTGCTTCCCAAAAAATTTTCAAGAGAAACATTGGGAGTTTGGGGTGGGGGAAGGTGATGAAGGTGGTTTCAGAAGTAATTATTATGGGAAAATCTTTGAAAAGTCCAATTCTTAGTGCTATGAATGGCCGCTGATGGGCAACAGGGGGATCTACTTTTCCAAATGTAGATCCCAGTAACTGCTAAAATCTGAGATCGAGACTGTTTTTATAGCACACGAGGAAAAATCTCTAATTAAATGGCTCACATGCTAATTTAGGCATCCTGCCTAAACTGATTTCTCTATATTAAGATATATTAAAATATATTTGATTGCAATACCCAGAATACTATATCTGCCTATTTATTAGATTTAAGGAGCTCACCCCTATGAAAAAAAGACATTTGTGTCATTAGGTTATAGCAAAATTTTGCAGTCAGAATTCCTGATTATTTTATTTTTTTCATACTGCATCAATTTCTTACATTGTTGTGAGGATAACATGATTTTTATCCAAAGAATTCAGACAATATTTATTAAGAGGTTGTTTATTAATATATAAGAGTTTATTATTTTTACAGCAAAGATTATGTAGGTTTTATTTGGCTCCTTAAGCACCTTGTCAAGCCTTTTACCTAGATTTTATCTTTTGCTCATATCTTGACAATGGTATGCAAGGGTGGGAGGAATGGTATCTAAGCAACCAGGAACCCAAGGCCAGATTTTGAAGGAGAAATGGACTGTTTCCATAACAAGAAGAAATATTACTGTTGGACAATGTGAACACCCGGTGGGTGGGGGTGAGGTAGTCTATCATTTAAATAAGCAATTTTCCGAGCACAAAACCAGAGCTGGTTTTGCTTTCTTCTGTGCCAATGTGAATTTTTCAGTAAAGTATTATACTCTTGGTAAAATCATGTCCCAGGAGTTTCTTTTTCTGGAAATGCCTGCTGGACAGTTGGAACATATTCCAAGATCCCACTTAAAAAAATCAATAGATCCTTCTGGGAGGTACTCTGGCACAGCTTGTCATCATTTCCTTAGGCTTTTAAAAAAAGTCTTGTTTGGTTCCTGAAAGGAATAAATGAATACATAAATGCTATTCTGAAGCAAACAAAATTGTAGCTAGAGCAAGCCATTAAATGGTGCCATTAAACTGTGGAAGCCATTTTTAAAGGGATTTAGCCTAAGTGGCAGCTCTTTATGGTAGACAAGTTCAAGAAACAAGCAAAGCAGAGATTCCAGGAAGCTCTTCTCTGTAGTAAGACAGAATAACCTATCTATCTATCTATCTATCTATCTATCTATCTATCTATCTATCTATCTATCTATCTATCTATCATTTGTATCCTGCCTTTATTATTTTTACAAATAGTTCAAGGAGGAGAACATATCCAACACAACTTTCTTCTCCTATTTTCCCAACAACAACAATCTTGGGAAATGAGTTTGGCTAAGGGAGATTACCTGGTCCAAAGTCACCCATCTGGCTTTCATGATTAAGACAGGACATATCTAACCTTGTGCCTTAATTTTAAACTTAAAAGTCCATCTTAGGATCCAATTTGGGTCTTTCACCGGGACCAGGGATTTAGTCTTCCGATCTTCCTGATATCCCTCCAGAAAATAGTGGGAGGAATTCCTGCAGAGGCACTCATATTTACACATTTCAAAATGGAGGGGGAAATGATGCATGCATACGTATTAATAAGTAATAACATAATTTATCTCAAATTACTTCCTGCCCTTTAGAGGAGTTAGAAGAAATATTTGCATCTTGAGATTCAGGGAAGCCTATGGGAATGTTCTGATAAAATTTATTACAAGCCATTGTGGGAGTACAAGGACACATTCCTTATGTCTCCATTTGTCTATTAAATACTCCCAATCATCTGAAAATTGATTCCCCCCCCCCATTGAGTTTCATTCTCATCTTCCTCTTTCTCAGCACTGAGTATTCTTTTCTAAATGTTACTCTTCATGGCTCATCCATTCCTCTTCCACAAAGGCCATTGGCACCAGCTTGGAGAACTCAGGGAGGCTGAGCCACAAAAGTGCCACTTGTTTGGAATGCCAATGGGAAACTTTTATTTAGAAAACAGTTTAGCCCCCTTTTGAAATTATTCAACTTGATCCTGATTGACAGCTGTTAATATTGAATTCCTACCTCCTGTCTTCTTCCTAATCTGATGAAACAGAATCATCCTCAGACTTATCTGCAGAACAAAGAAAAATGAAATATTAAGGTAAGGTGGACATCTTATCTCTAAAGAATCTGAATCTAGAAGTTGGATTCTGACATTCCATAAATTTGTGGCATAATATATATATTATTTTATTATATATATATATATATGTATGTATGTATATATATATATATATATATATATATATATATATATATATATATATATATATATATATATTGGAAATAAAAACAAAAACATGACTCTTGGGAATATTCATGTTAGTCAAATAGTAATGATCACCAAGAGAGTATCTATAAAAATAGAATTTTAATCAGGCAGCAGGTCACGGGGTTGTTTATGCGTCATAGGCACCACCAAGTGTTACCTAGGGATGAAACGGAGGCCCTGGAACATCTTAAGAGGGACGCCACCATTGTGATACTCCCCGCTGATAAGGGGAGGGCCACAGTGGTGATGGACAGGGCACTCTATGTGGCCAAAGCGCTGCAGTTATTAAATGACAAGACTGCTTACAGAATTATTAAGAAAGACCCCATGGTGGCCCTGAAAAATAAAATCAACAAGTTACTTGATAGTTTTAAACGATCAAAGAAACTTGATGAAGATACCTTAAGGAGAATACGACCCAATGATTCTGCGCTCCCGAGGTTTTATGGACTGCCAAAAATCCATAAGCAGGATATTCCACTTCGCCCTATCGTGTCGTTTAGAGGCACTCCCATCTCAGGGTTGGCGAAGTGGCTTAGTGACCGTATATCCTACCTGGTCGATGGCAGCCCCACTACAGTCAGATCCGCAGAGGAATTCCTGGGGAGGATCAGGACCCTTAGGGTGGAGGAGGATGAGGTGATGGTCTCTTTCGACGTCACCTCACTCTTCACCCCCATCCCCCAAGAACTGGCCCTGAGAGTCCTAAGGGATAGATTAGAAAAACTAGGAAAAACCGGACACCGGGATTCCCTGCAACCGGGGGACCTAACGCAACTCATTGAGCTATGTCTTACAACCTACTTCTCCTTTCAAGGGAATATATATGAACAGGTCAAAGGTACACCGATGGGCTCCCCAATATCCAGCGTGGTGGCAGAAGCGGTTCTACAACAATTAGAACACGAGGCTATGACCCGTCAACAGCCCAAGTTTTGGGCACGGTACGTTGACGACACTTTTGCGGTCGTCAAACGAGACCATTTAGCCGGCTTTATGGGAGTATTAAATTCAATATATCCGGACATTAAGTTTATGTTGGAGGAGGAGGTCCGGGGCTCGATAGCCTTCTTGGACGTACTGGTCCAACGTTCCCCAGATGGAACTCTAAACACCAAGGTCTATCGGAAGCCCACTCATACGGACCGCATCCTCCATTTCCATAGTAATCATCCGGCCTCCCATAAAGCCAGCTGTATTAAGACCTTGTTCAAACGGGTACAGTCGCACTGCAGCACCATGGAAGCTAAGGCAGAAGAAAGAAAACATCTATTCGCATATGCCGAATGAATGGGTATCCCCCGAGGTTTATTAAGCGACACAGTATGGCACCCGGACTACATAATGGACAATCAAGAGAGGACCTCCAGACACGGGTCACACGCGTGTCACTACCGTACATCAGAAACGTGTCAGAGGCTACAGCCAGGCTTCTGGCACCCCACAACATACAGGTAGCCCACAAACCCACCCAAACCATACGAGCTAAGGTGATGCGCCCCAAAGATCAGCTCCCCACCGCCGAGAGATCAGCCATAGTTTATAAAATCAACTGTGCGGATTGCCAGAGTAATTACATAGGCGAGACCTCGAAAAGACTTAAGACCCGCCTACATGAGCATAGGCTAGCCATTAGACGGGGTGAACAACACTCCCAGATTTGGGCTCATGCAGTAGAATACGGCCATCGTTTTGATTTTGAGAATGCCCAAATCTTGGCTAATGATATCACAAAAAGAGGCCGCTTATTAAAAGAGGCATGGTTCTCAGAAACTGAATCCATCAATAGGCGTGTGGATTTGTGTGCAGCACACCAGGCTCTGAAAATATGGAATGCTGGTAGCCGCATTAACCGGGAGAGGGGACTTAATTCAAAGACTTACTATCCAGAAGACATCGCTCGACCCCCCTCCTCATATAATCACATTAATGCAGCCCCCACTGATGGCCCCCCCTTCTTGGAACAACTACAGACCAGTCCTGGCAGACAACTGCGGACGGATTCGCCACGATCCGTAGAGAACGGAACAGCATGGAGATGGAATGGAAATGGATGGGGATTCGAGAAACTGGAAGAAAAACGGAATACAACCAGGTCCGGTAGAGATGAGGAGAACGACGATGAACCCCCCCATGAGGAGGCTACCAGACACAGCATGACAACTCGATCGCAATCCAGCAGGAGAATGCACCCCCCTTCGACACCCCCAGCGCAAAGTTATGGGATGAAACAGCGACTACAATTAAAGGGGAAGAGCACCGTATGGAGTGGGAATGGAGAACCAAGGACGGACGGTAACGTTGCCCACCGGCAACGGATGGAACAACGAGCCACTGACAATAGGACAACGACAAAAAACATCTTGACGGTGCGCAAGACAGAGCGTGTGGGAACGAACAGCGGACCGTACAGGGGAACCCAGGGGAAGAAGGAGGGGAGGAGGAACAATATGGGCGGGGGTTATGAATCTAGGGCACAATTCCGGGAGACGGATAAACAAGACCAAAATAGCCGTGAGGCTTGTAAGGATACTGAAAGTGATAATTGCCCACCCCCACTCATAGAGGGAAGTCGTGTGTGGGATGGTGGTGGGGGGGAGGCTATGAGCAACGAAGGCAAAAAGATCTGGACTCCCAACTCTGAAACAACTTATGACAGAATGCAGACTAGTAATGTGGGATGTAGGCTGGAGACCCAACCCGATCAGCTGGGGCCTATGACACGCTCCAGGAGCCGGAAGCAGACACTAAACAGCTGTATATAAGACTCTCCCCCGGCACTTACCTTTTAACCCTGACGATGTCAATTGTGTTTGACGAAAGCTCGGTGGATTAAAATTCTATTTTTATAGATACTCTCTTGGTGATCATTACTATTTGACTAATATATATATATATATATATATATATATATATATATATATATATATATATATATATATATATAAATTTATATCAATTATTTTGTTCATCCCATAGTCAGCCAGATGTTTAGAATGAATTTGACATATTTGGTCCACCTAGCTCCGTGGTGGTGAACCTATAGCACATGTGCCACAGGTGGCACGCAGAGCCATCTCTGTGAGCACACGCACCGTCGCCCCAGTCCTAGGCCTTCAGCTGGGTTTTATAAAACGTTTTCACTTTAGGCCTCCACCACCATGTTAAAAAAAAAAAAAGTTAATCAATCAATTTTAACTTCTCGCGGGGAAAAAAAAGATCTCGCAAAGTTGGAATTGATTGATTGAATTTTTTAGTCCCACCCAGTCTGCCGTTACCACCGCAGCCATGCCCACCCAATTGGCCACGCCCACCCGGCACCTGATGATACATAAGTGGGTTTTGGGTTGCAGTTTGGTCATTCGGTCTCTAAAAGGTTCGCCATCACTGACCTAGCCAGTCCTTCCCAAAGAGCTGGGATAGGCAGATATTGTTTGATGGTATTAAAGGTATCATTGCAGGATGTAAGCTGTTCCAAGTAAAGCTGCCTTTTGCAATTGACTGACAGGGATTTTGTCAATGCTGATCGTGGTCAAGTGGTGATGCAGATGTTTTGGGATTATTATAATTATGATTATTGTTGTTATCTTTATGTGAACAACCAAGGCTTACATAGAGATCTCCTAAGACCTGTAAAATTGAATATAAATATGTTTAGAAATATCTTTTTCATCAACCAAGCACTCCCCTCCAAAAACAGAACTAATAGCCAAACTTACGTGGGTCTTCAGCCTTTGAAAAATGCCTCTTTAAAAAACCACAATTGTGATCAGGCTCTTTCTCCACTTCCTTGGATGACTCAGTATTAAGAAGGAAGAAATTCTGCTCCGTGGCATTATAGAGCGGCCACTCAGCCTCGGTGGCCACCAAACCCGAAGGATTCCTATGGAGGAAGAAAAGGATGCTGATTTTCCAAAGAGACTCGTATTGATCTGAGAAACTCCAGCCAAGGGAAACTCCCAAAGAGGACTTTGAGGGAGGGGTGGGGATGCCCTCAGTCCAACACGATCCGTGGTCAGCTTCTATTTATGAACAATTCAACTTTTCTACTTGTTGCAAAGTTGAAGAAGAACTTTGCTTCACTACTTTCTTCATAGTAATTATTGCACAGATCTACAACTGGTACAAAGTATGCAGTAATATAGCTACAAGAAGGACAATATGAGTAGTCCTCACATTATGACTGGTCACTTAACAAGTATTGGAAGTTACAATGGATTTCCCCAGCGGTACTTACCACTCATTTTTGGAGTTATGATGACCGCACACACGGACGTGCTGACACACACAAAAAAAAACCCCACACACTATGTGATCACATGATCATATTTTTGGTGCTTGACAACTGACTCACCTTTACCACCATTTGCAATTTCCCACGGTCATGGATGCTCAACCACAGCAGCCAAAGTTCAATATCAGTGGAGTTCAAAGTTCAGTAGCACTCGAGATTTCATCCATCCTCCGCACAAGAGATTGTGAAGAGGGGCAGGGCTGCTGATCCAAACCCAGGTCAGCTCCTCGTAGGCTCTTGAAATCTACCACTCCCAATCCATTCCTCCATTCCTCACACCCTGGGCACCCTCCATCTTGGGAGTTTCCCTTTACTACTTACTCCCTTGCAAGCCTTTTGTCAAGTCCCTATTAGAACGCTGCTGTTGAGTCCGTGGCGGGAAAACAGACACAAGAAGCAGCTGGAGTTCTCAGTTTCTTTTATTCAGCGTTCAGCTTACAGGAAGATGGCTTCAGCCTCGCCCAAACGCCTCGCAGCCTCTTATATAGGCAACTCCCGGGTAAATGGGTTACTTTTCCCGCGCCAGCACCCGCGCATGCGCACGGCGCTGGCGACAGCCTGTCTGGTCCCGGGCAGCTTTGCACCTGCCCGGGACTGCCTGCAAACGCCCGAGCCGTTTGCAAAGGCTCGGGACATAACAGCTGCCATTCCAAGGGGAGAGGGAGCACGAGTCATTGTGGATTGAGGATGTTCCTAAATTGTTCCTGCTTTCGCTTTGATGTATCTGCATGGAAAATAGGGAGTGGGGAAAGAGTCTTCAGGGCCATCTGTTTTGACTCCTGAAGCTAGTGAGGATTAGGCACCAGAGAACAGCCGGTTATCAGCTTTTCGGTTCAAAGTTCTCACGACATCTTCACACCAGCAGATTGGCTCCTGATGGACTGGGGTATTGGGGTGGAGCTGGGGAAATAGGACTTTTAGCTTAACACATTTGTGCGGGAACTTCGGATTCCATCTTACTTCCCTGCAATCACTTTCTCTCAGTAAAACAACTCTTTTGAAATGATGCCTGTTTCAAGAGTCATGCTTTCCCGAGGCTAAAGTTGAGGCAGGACCTTACACCTTTGCGCATTCTCCTAATCGTACAGTAATGCTCTGCTTCTTCTTCTTCTTCTTTCTTTCTTTATTCCACTTGCAGAAATAGTATACCTGGAATATGTGTGATAACATTGAACTATAAAAGAACGATTACCTAGAATTAACATAATTAAGAATCCTTAAAAATTTCAGGGCTTTTCCCAGTACAACTGGGACAGTTGACTTACAGATTAACAAGTTGACTTACAACCGTTTGTTTAACATCCGTTCAAGGTTACAACGGAGGCTGAAAAAAGTGATTTACAACTGGCCCATGCACTTACAACTACTGCAGCATCCCCATGGTCATGTGATCAGAATTTGGGTGCTTGGCAAGTGGCATATATTTACAATCACTGCAGAATCTAGGGGTCAAGTGATGACCATTTGCAATCTTCCCAGCTGATTTTCAACAAGCAAAATCAGTGGAGGAAGCTCAATTCACAGTTAACAAGAGCAGTGATTTGCTTAACAACTATGGTAAAAAGGATCATTAAATTGGGATGACTCACTTAACAACCACCTTGCTTAGCAATCAAAATTCTAGTTTCAATTGTGGTCACAAATAGACTACTATCTGTATTAACGTTACTTATAAACATTGGCAAAGGAATAGCATGCATTATTGTATGGCTGCGCTCAGTGCTTTTTTTTTTTTTTAAAAAAAGTGCCAGAACTCACACACATCATACAACCCGCCTTGCCTGCCCTACAAGGTTCCATCCAAAAAAGGTGCCGGAACTCCGTTCTGGGCCTTCTATGAGAAAAAAAGCCCTGGCTGCATTACTTTAGACACAAAGTACATTTGTTGAATGGCTTTCTTTGGATTTAAAATACAAATTTATAGAAATAAAGTGAACCACTTACCCAGTTCTGGCAAACTCTGCCCAGTATTGCATCATCTTACGGCTCAGTCTGGCCTCAGCCTCTGTGTATGTTTGATTGACAGGCAGCACTGATTCAAGGGTCCCAAAAATGTAAGGAATCTCAGCACCATGGAATGCCCCAATCCATTCAGAACAAACTGACCCTGAAGTGTGATGTGAGAATAAATAGGCATATATAGGACTCCCAGTTTTCCGAAAATTTCTTGCAACTTCAATCATTGGGCATACAAAGACCCAATCTGCAAAGAATTGGGACAGAGCAGAGCGGTATTTTGTTGGGCCTTGATTTCCTTCACTGTACCTCAGGGCAATTGTCTGAACAAAATCTTCAGTTGCATTTGCCACCAACAGTCTTATCCCGTCCAGAAGCTGCTCCTGATTGATGAGATTTTCGTTGATGTCAGAGAAAATATAGGAGACAAATGAGCCCCCTTCATCAGAGGTCTTACCTATGAGGATTGGTTTGACCTGAATTTGCCCCTCTTCCATGAGCTTTTCCGGATCACCAAGCAAAAGATCCTCATCTACAGTTGGTTTAAAGGGAAAATTCAGAAGGAATCCAAGTTTGTAGTACAGATATATTTCATACTCAATAAATTCAGAAATATGTTTTGTTTGCAGACAATGCCCAACACCGACATTATTACCCTTGGAACAACCTAGCAAATGAACGAATTCAAGCGATAACCGTTTGGCTTCCTCAGGAGACCTCCAAGCCCAGAAAGCATTGGCTGTTCCACTCTGGATCACCGCTTGGGCAAAAAGGTCCTGGCTTTTTGGTGCAAGAAGATGGAAATTCACAGAAGCTCCTCCGACACTCTGGCCAACAATGGTCACCCGAGAAGGGTCTCCCCTAAAGGCAGCTGCATTCTCTTTTATCCACCTCAGTGCCAACTGTTGGTCCCATAAGCCTAGGTTCCCTGGAGCAACTGGTGGCAAGTAAAGAAAGCCTAAGGCTCCCAAGCGATAATTAATGGTGACCACAATGACATTCTCAGTGGCAGCCAAGGATGCCCCATTGAACACATCCACAGAAGATGTGCCTCCTAAATATCCCCCTCCATGTATCCAGACCAAAATAGGCACTAATGAAGAAGGTTGTGGGTGCGGCACCCAGATGTTGAGGGAAAGGCAATCTTCTGACAGTGGTGTTTTAGGAGACCATATATTTGCTTCAGGCTCATCCGCGAAAATAAATTGAGGACAGGAATTGCCAAAGCTGGTGGCCTCCAATGTTTGATTCCATGGCTGATGTGGAAGAGGTTTCTGTAAGCGCAACTTTCCCAGGGGAGGCTCAGCGTAAGGAATGCCTAGATAGGCTGTCACAGATCCAGGGCCAGCCAGGAACTGCTTGCCCTTAATAGGGCCACTGCTGGTTATGACCACTGTGTCCCCATTAGAAGAAGAACTGGAGGCTAATGGAAAGAGGAGGAGGAGGCAGCACCAGAGAGAAGGGCATAGCAGAGAAGACATTGCAACTGTAGGACAAGTTGGTGGACCTGGAAAAAGTTACAACCAATATGAGATTATTCCTTACTGTATAAGCCCACCTAATGCCAATTCATCATTGATTTATTATGATGGCGGGATTCCTTTTTTTATTTTTGCTGAGGAGACCAATGGTGAGCAGGTAGTGACTCAGTCACCTTTGCCCTTCTCCATCATGTGTCTCCAAGGTTCCAAAAGAACCGTTTAGGACTCCTGGTTACCGATCCCCTTGCTCAGCGAATGGACAGTTTTGACACAGAATTGCTGCTAGATCCTCTCCAGGGTTACTAATACAGTTTTGGTATATATTGTTTGTTACGTATATGTTAAGATATTTAAATCTAGTAGCTAGAAGAGTGGAGTTGTACAGAACACATAGTTATAGTTGATTGGTTGGAAATAGCTGGCTCCTGAATGAGGCAATCTATGCTGTGATTGGTTGCTGGGGAGAGTTTCCTTGTTTCCCGCCTTTTTCTCCTATGTGCTCTATGATTTACCTCACAATATTCCTGTTTGCCTAACTATCTCATTTGCTGTAAATATATTTATTTATATAAAACTACAAGTTTGTGTCAGCATCTCTGACTTCATTTGGACACCTGCTGCACCATTCCCTGATAGTATATTCTATCTTTTTAACTTATTCCAAAATCCCTTTTTGGAACTTGGTGTACCAATCCCTATCTTGTGGATTATAGCTAAGATATAACTGAAATAAATAACAATGCAAAATGGTCCCGTCAACATTTTTACTGCTTCTGATCGTGCTTTAAATTATCCAAGTATACAGTTGAATCTCTCCGACATACACACAAACATCCTCTTTTTTTAGGATTTTCCATCTGGAACCATGGCTGATTGTAGACCATCATAATTTGGGGCAGTGCTCTTTACTTTTCAACATCTAAACAAATTTCCAGATTTATTTTTACACTAAGCCATAAAACTGGAATTGTTCTGTTGTAAACATTCCCAATCTCCAAAACCCTGTTAGCCTTTTAGAAGGCCCTCAAAATGTGGTTTTCCCAGCAATCTTAGGGAGCTCAGGGGGAGCATGTGTAATGGTTATATTGTGTTTAGATGGATGTTTTTCTCCCACAAGTTTGCTTTCATTTATTTCTGAAGCTTTTAATACCTATGATGTTTAATTGCGTTGTACACAAGTTGATCAGTTCTCTTACCTATGAGGACTGATTTGACCTGAATTTACTTTTCCTTCATTAGCTGGATGGCTATATACCTTTGTTAAATAAAGTTTATGTTTATTTCTCATCTTTATAAGTCTACCTATCTCACAAAAAGTGACACTGGGTGGCATACAGCCATCAATAAAAATAAATGAAACAATTTCCACAATGGAGAAAGTAATTTTAAAAACTGAGCTTTCTACCATTGTAGTCCTTTCATACATGAATGCTAATCTTGATTTGTCTGAGTTTCCCTTTTCCTGCCACAGTTGTTCAACCAACTGAAAAGTTAATCAACTTTAGGATTTGTACTCTTGAATTTGGCTGCAGTACAGGTAGTCCTTGACTTCTGACAATTGAGCCCAAACTTTCTGTTGCTAAGCAAGACAGTTAAGCACATTTTTATCCATTTTATGATCTTTCTTGCCACAGTTGTTAAGTGCATCACTGTAGAGGTTAAGTTAGTAACATAGCTGTTAAGTGAATCTGGCTTCCTCATTGCCTTTCCTTGTCAGAAGGTCACAAAAGGTGATCACATGACTCTGAGACACGGCAACCGTCATATATACATGCCAGTTGTCAGGCATCCAAATTTTGATCATGTGATTCTGGAAATGCTGCAATCATAAGCTGCCCAGAGTCTCTGAGAGTCAATTGGGTGGCGATATAAAATTTCTTAAATAAATAAGTTTCCTTTTATTGCTGAAGAGATTGTTGTCTCTTTACATATGCCTAGCCTGCAATAGGATTAACAATTAACAGAAATTCTAGTCCTTTTCCTAAAAATCATCTTCCAATTCTCTGAAAAATACTGATTTTTAAAAATTCTTCAGACTTACCTGTTTATCAGTTTTAAAGGGACTGCTTGTAAATATTACCCTCGGCTTATTCCAAAGAAGGAAACAGTAGAAATGACCAGACTGTATCTTGCTCTCTCACAAATAATGATAATGGAAAGAGCAATGTGATATATGACATGAGGGTGCATTGACCAATTGGATTCTGCCCATTAAGGAGGAGGAAGTTGCAAATATTGGCAAAGACTCCAAGATTAAAGTGCTGGATGTTATGTCTTGGGCTGGCAGGCACAGGCTGCAGCAATTGGCCTGGGCAGACCATGTGGATGCCCGGGACAAGAAAGGCTGCTTCCAGCTTTTGCAATGATTAGCCAGCAAGGTATTGTGATGGGGGGCTATAAAAGGGGGCTGCACCATTTTTAAAACCTGTTCTGTTGGTGTTGCAATAAAGGAGACTGTTGGAACTCGTTGCTTCGTCTCAATGCCTCTTTTCCTGAAACAGAACATTGGCGACGAGGATGGGATGCCTGCAAGGCAAACAGATTAAGAAGCCAAGCTGACTCACCACAGGGGGCTTGCAGCTCGGAGAAATGTGGCTCCTGGAGATTGACTTAGCCTGCCAGCACTGAGACGCTGGAGGTGAGCTCAGAAAAGGGGGCCCCTTCTCAATCCTTGCTGCAAGAGGCATGGGCTAAGTTCCTGGGCTGAAACGATGGAAAGATAGGCCAGCTTTCAGAATTTGACACAGCTCACCCAGAACGCTGGAGCTCGTATGTGGCCTGGGTGGAGAACTACCTCCAGGTGAATCAAATTCATGAAGATGACCTCAAAGCTGTCACGCTGCTATGTGTGTGTGGGCAAGAGACCTTCGAGATTGTGGAGAATCTGGTCGCCCCAGCCCCACTGGAATCAATCACCTACACAGAATTGAAGAGGATGCTTCGAGAGCATTTTGAACCCAAGTTCTCAGTGATTGCCTGGCGACACACGTTCGAGCAGAGGGACCAGAGGCCTGGTGAGTCTGCAGCAGAGTTTGTTGCGGCCTGTGAATTCAAAGACTTGGAGAAGGGACTGAGGGATTGGCTGGTCTGTGGCCTGTGAAGCCGGGAGTTGCAGCAGAGGCTCTTCGCGAAGGAAGGCCTCACGTTCCAAGATGTCCTGAGGAAAGTTTCAGCCGAAGAAGCAGCAGATGGAGCTGTGAAGGCCTTGCTCTATTGATCATCTTCTTAGATATCTTTAACAAGGTCTGCAGCAGAAGCAGCCTACGGGTGAAACTCAGGCCGTCAAACTTTATCCTCACAGATTTCCAAAATTCCAGAGTCAACGTGAGGGGGGAGGCCACACTCAAGGTGCAGCGTAGGAATTTTGAGGGGCTACTGGATGTAGTTGTGGTTGGGGGAGACCATACAAGTCTCATTGGACTCGACTGGTTTGAGGCCCTGGGAATTCAGGTGACTGGAATACACAGCGTGCAAACAACAGGCCTGGCTGGGGTCTGCAAGGAGTTTGCAGATGTATTTAGTCCAGAACTTGGCTCCTACAAAGGCCCTCCTATTTCTCTGAGGCTAGACCCAGCCGTAGCCCCCATTAGAATCAAGCCACACAGGGTGCTCTTTGCCTTAAAGGGTAAAATAGATGCAGAGCTGGATAAACTGATTCAACATGGTATCTTAGAGACTGTGGACAGTAGGCCAATGGTGAAGTCCGAATCTGTGTGGACTACAAGTGCACGCTTAACAAAGCGCTGCAGCAGCATTCATACCCAGTACCAGTGATCAGTCACATTCTAGCCTCCCTCAAGGGGGGCCAGATCTTTGCTAAGCTTGACCTGGCTCAGGCCTATCAACAATTGCCAGTTGATGAGAAAACGGCCGAGGCCCAAACTATAGTGACTCACAGGGGGGCATTCAAGGTACGAAGATTGCAATTTGGGGTAAACGTGGCCCCTGGCATCTTCCACAGTGTAATGGAGTGAACTCTCCAAAATATCCCTGGCGTTTGCTCGTACTTTGACGATGTCCTCATCGCTGGGGACTCAGCTGACAGTTTAGCCAAAAGGCTGAGAGCTGTTTTGCTACGTTTCCGCCAAGAGGGGCTGAAGCTTAAGCAAGACAAGTGCAAGATCGGGGTTACCTCCACGGAGTTTCTAGGATTCCGCATTGATGCTCAGGGCATCCACCCTGCTGAATCCAAGCTGCATGCAATTCAGCAGGCCCCAAGTCCCAAATCTAAGGGTGAACTTCAGGCCTTTCTGGGACTGCTAAATTTTTACCACTCATTCCTTCCTCACAAGGCTGCAGTGGCTGAGCCGTTACACCAGCTCTTAGACAAACAGGCCCCTTGGCAGTGGACACAAGCACACGAAAAGAGCTTCAAAGAGGTCAAGACCTTGCTCTCTTCAAATGCGGTCCTCGCGCACTTCAATGAGAACTTGCCAGTATGGATCGCCTGTGATGCGTCCCCTTATGGGGTTGGGGCTGTGTTAAGTCACTTGAAGGCTGATGGAACGCAAGTCCAAATAGCATACTACTCTAGAACCCTATCATCAGCTGAACGCAATTATGCACAAATAGATAGGGAAGCCTTAGCCATAGTGGCTGGCATAAAGAAGTTCCATGACTTAGTATATGCCCACCACTTCACGGTCTTTACAGACCATAAGCCACTGCTGGGGTTGTTCACAATGAACAAATAAACCCCACACAGGTCTATCTTCCTGTCTGCATATGACCATACACTGGTTCACAAGCCAGGTAAAGAAATGGGTCATGCAGATGGTCTCAGCAGGTTGCCATTACAGCAGATAGAGGCAGATCCAGCACCTGCCAATTGCATCCTGTCTATTCAGGACTTGCCTGAATCTCCCCTCAGTGCTAGGGATGTGGCTGCAGAAAAGCCACCGATCACACGCTAACACACGTGCTGACTTGGGCATTGTCTGGATGGCCTGACACATGTCCAGGCTCAGAATTCCAGAGCTTCTGGCAGAGGAAGCACGAGATTTCCACCTTCAAGGGGTGTGTCCTATGGGGTAGCCGAGTAGTAATCCCAACCTCATTGAGGACTAGAGTCCTGCAGTCTCTGCATGAGCGACATCCAGGAATGGATGAAGCCATCTTTGGTGGCCTGGGCTCGACAAAGATGTCAAGGCCCAGGTCCACGGGTGCACTGTTTGTCAACAGTCAAGGCCAGAGATGCTCCAGGCCCCAGTTCATAAGTGGGAGGAGATTCATACCCCATGGTCGAGGGTCCATATCGACTACGCTGGGCCCTTTCAGGGGCAATTCTTCTTAATTCTCGTGGACAGCCATTCCAATGGCTAGAGGTCATGCCTGTCTCCTCCACTACCACTGGTAGGACCATCCAGGTGCTGAGAGGGATCTTCGTGGCACATGGACTTCCAGATGTCCTTGTCTCCGACAACGGGCCCCAATTCACATCATTGGAGTTCAAGGCGTTCCTCCAGGCCAACATGATCCGGCATGCCACATCTGCACTGTTCCATCCAGCTTCCAACGGCCAGGCTGAACGAATGGTTCGCACAACCAAGGATGCCTTAAAGAGGATCACTCACGGGACCTGGCATCACAGGTTAGCGGACTTTCTTCTTTGCCACCACACCACACCATGCACAGCTACTGGAAAGAGCCCAGCTGAACTTCTCTGGGGTCGCCGCCTCATCACGAAACTGGACAGATTGCACCCAAACCGGGTGGCTTCACAGGTGTCACAGCCGTTGTCACCTAGGAGACTACAAGTGGGAGATCTGGTCTGGGCAAGGAACTATGGACCAGGACATCTTTGGATCACAGCAGTGGTATGCAAGGTCTCTGGGCTGCTGTCATACGACGTGGCCTTGGACGATGGTCGTGTGATCCAATGTCACATTGACCAACTGCGCTGGAGGCTTCCCAGCAACTCTTCCACTCCTAGCTCTGCTCTCAGGGGGGGGGGAGGAAGACCACAATTACGATTGTGGACCACGGTCTCTCCAACATCCCCAGGCTTCAGCTATTACTCCAAACAGGGAGTCCGCAGAAAGGGGGTTCGCCATGGAGGCAGCTCCGGCCTCTGGCACTCAGGCCACTCCAGCTGCTGATCTAGGGCTCGAGGGACAGTGCTCCCAAGAGGAATCCATTGGGGACATGGGGAATTCCACCCCACCACTGGACTTGGGGAATTCCACCCCCCCCCCCCAAGGAACCCTGGCTTGGATTTAGCAAATTCAGCCAGTCAGCAGCTGGGTCTTTGGGGCAACAAAGTCCTGGTCTGCCTAGCCTGGCAGGCGAGCTGGCAGGCCAGGCACACACACAGGACATGAGAAGATCAGGGCGGGCCAGAGGTCCTCCCAAATACTTACAAGACTATGTACGGTCCTTGTCAGTTCATGGGCAGGCCTGGCAGTCTGGGTTAAGTAATGCAGCTCAAGGGGAGTGGGGAGCATGGCGATAGCAAGACTGTAGTGTTGTGTATATATAGATGCAATGTAAGCAATATAATGGAGTGTTGGAGTATTTAAAATAATAAGTGTGCCTTATTATTTTAGCTAAGCGGGGAGGGGTGTTATGTCCTGGGCCGGCAGGCACAGGCTGCAGCGATTGGCTCAGGCAGACCATGTGGATGCCCAGGACAAGAAAGGCTGCTTCCAGCCTTTGCAATGATTGGCCAGAAAGGTATTGTGCTGGGGGACTATAAAAGGGGGCCACACTATTTTAAAATGAGGACCCAGATTGTTGGGGGCAATGTAAATATATATATATACATTTCTTACTGGTGTACACCGCTTAGAGAGTGCTTGCACTTAAAGCGGTATATAAGTCTCATAAATAAATAAATAAATAAAAACCTGTTCTGTTGGTGTTGCAATAAAGGAGACAGTTGGAACTCGTTGCTTCGTCTCAATGCCTCTTTTCCTGAAACAGAACAGTGGAAATGCAGAGAACTTCAATCAAATGGGGCGCAGTCACTATCTGTGGTGTGCAAACCTGCATGAATCTGCTGTTTGGCTTTCCAGCTCAGAAAAGTGCCCAAATATATGTTTTGTTGTGCAATAAAAATGTAGTTGATTTTCAGTAAGTATTAAACAATCTATTCCAACATAGCATTTCTGAGTGAAGGAAGTCAAACCCCCAACTCTGCAG